AGTGCGGGGACCTGCCAGGGAGCGCGGTGGAGCACCGGGTGCTGGTGAACCCCATGGAGGACCTGGTGGGACGGCACCAGCCCTGGGCCCACGAGGTCTTCCACCACTACCGCAGGCGGTTGGGGCGGCGGTACGGCTCCGCGCGGGAGCTGGAGCACAGGCAGAGTGTCTTCGTGCACAACATGAGGTACAGGCAGACGGGGGGATGCCGACCCCCTTGGGGGTGCTCCCCATCCCCCGGGGGTTGCATGGCTGCTGCAGCGGGAGGCGGCGTCGGTGCCGGCTGATGCCATCCCCGCCACGACGGCAGGTTCGTGCACTCGAGGAACCGTGCTGCGCTCTCCTACACGCTGGCGCTGAACCACCTGGCCGACCGCACGCCCCAGGAGCTGGCCGCCCTGCGGGGCCGCCGCCGGAGCGGGGCTCCCAACAACGGGCAGCCCTTCCCCACCGAGCTCTACGCCGGCCTCATCCTGCCCGAGAGCCTCGACTGGCGCATGTACGGTAGGTGCGGGGTCAGGGAAACGGGGTCTCGCCGTCGGGGTGCTGCGGGATGGTGTAAGGCTGCGATGTGGAGGGTGTGAGCGCTCCTCATCCGGGCCAGCGCAAAGTCCAACCGAGCCGCCCCACTCTCCGTCACCATGCTGAGGAGCCCGTGGGGCTGCGCTGTCCCTTGGGACCCACATCTCCCTGTGGCCCCCGCCCTGCTCAGCACCTGGAAGATCAAAGCAGGGCTTGCCTGGCAAAAGGCAGCTCGGCTGGCACTTGGCCCTCATTCAGTCTGGTGCCCCAGGGACAGATGTGACATCTGAAGCCACATCTGGCTTCCCCCATGTCCCCATCAGCTGGGAGCGACACCCCCAGAGCTTGCCCCAACCCAAGGGCAGGGGTCCCACAGGTTTGCTGGTGCATTTACCAAGCCCTGGCTACGCTGCCTCTGGGAGCACAGCGAGCCCTCAACTTCTGCCTCAGTTTCCCTTCCACTTGCCCTCATCCCCCGGTGCCACCCCAGCCTCTCACCCCCCCATCCCACTGTCCCCAGGCGCCGTGACCCCCGTGAAGGACCAGGCCGTCTGTGGGTCCTGCTGGAGCTTTGCTACGACGGGTGCGATGGAAGGTGCCCTCTTCCTCAAAGTGAGAGCGGGGCCGTGCCCCACGGGGATGGTTGGGGCGCCTGGATGATGCCTGGCCCCATCCCTACAGTGCGTCCCCCCCGCAGACCGGCGTGCTGACCCCCCTGTCCCAACAAGTCCTCATCGACTGCTCCTGGGGCTTTGGGAACTACGCCTGCGACGGGGGTGAGGAGTGGCGAGCCTATGAGTGGATCAAGAAACACGGTGGCATCGCCAGCACCGAGTCCTACGGCACCTACAAGGGGCAGGTGAGGGTGGCCCCACGTCCCTGCCGGGGTTCCCCAGGTCTCGGGATGTGCCCCCCGGGGCTTTAAAGCCACGGTGGGGCCAATCAGGATGGGTCAGAAGCGCTAACGGGCTCTGGAGACGGGGATGTCACCTCGTCCCCAAGGCACCAGGCTCCCTGCAGTTCAAAGCACAGTCCAAAGCCAAGCTCCAGGGCTCAGCCGGGCGGTTTCATCACCGTGTGCCTCAGTTTCTCTTCTTGCAAAACAGGGACAAGGCTCCTCCACCCCTGGGTGGTACCACGGGTCCCTCCGTACCCTGGGGTGCAGGTATGGAGCAGGGCTGTCTGGAGACAGGGACGTGGCTGCAAGATGCAGGCAACAGCCCCCCCCAGGGCTTCAGGTGCAGAGCCAGCTCCCCATGCTGCGTGTGGGCAACGCTGTGTCCCTGCAACAACCAGGAAAACATCCCCACCATGGTGGGCAGTGGAGGACAGAGGGGTCAGAGCCGGGATGCTGTCACAGCCCAAGTCCCATATCGTTCCCTGCATCAGAGCAGAGCTGCACGGGGGCAGCCAGGGTGGTCAGGGTCCCAGTGAGGGGACCTGGGGGCTCCTGATGACACAGTGTGTCCCCCTCCGGGTGCCGCAGAACGGCTTGTGCCACTACAACCAGTCTGAGATGCTGGCCAAGATCACAGGCTATGTCAACGTCACCTCGGGCAACATCACGGCGGTCAAAGCTGCCATCTACAAGCACGGTCCTCTGGCTGTCAGCATCGATGCCTCGCACAGGACCTTCTCCTTCTACTCCAACGGCATCTACTATGAGCCCAAGTGCGGTGAGTCGGGTGGCACAGGGGGCACAGGAGGACCTGGGTGCCCAGGGAGATGCCAGGACACCCAGGATCCCCTCCTCATTGTCGAGCATCTTGGGCAAGGGTGGAAGAGGGAACCGGTCCTGCAGCCCTCCCCAAGTGCCGCTGGCAGCCCTGGGAGCAGGGATGCTCTCTGGACGAGCTGTCTCCCGTGTCATCCTCTGCAGCGAACAAGCTGGGAGCGCTGGACCACGCGGTGCTGGCCGTGGGCTACGGGGTCCTGCAGGGAGAGACCTACTGGCTGATCAAGAACTCCTGGTCCACGTACTGGGGTAACGACGGCTACATCCTCATGGCCATGAAGGACAACAACTGCGGGGGGCCACCGAAAGCCACCTACCCCATCCTGGCCTGAGCCACCTCCGCTGTGTGGGGAGAGCCCTCGGCGATGCTCTCGGCACCCATCCCTGGATCAGCCCCTTTGGCGTGACACATCACGCAGGAGGAAGCTGGGGACACGGTGGGACAGGGCCAGGGGGCAACGTCACGGCGGTCAAAGCTGCCATCTACAAGCACGGTCCTCTGGCTGTCAGCATCGATGCCTCGCACAGGACCTTCTCCTTCTACTCCAACGGCATCTACTATGAGCCCAAGTGCGGTGAGTCGGGTGGCACAGGGGGCACAGGAGGACCTGGGTGCCCAGGGAGATGCCAGGACACCCAGGATCCCCTCCTCATTGTCGAGCATCTTGGGCAAGGGTGGAAGAGGGAACCGGTCCTGCAGCCCTCCCCAAGTGCCGCTGGCAGCCCTGGGAGCAGGGATGCTCTCTGGACGAGCTGTCTCCCGTGTCATCCTCTGCAGCGAACAAGCTGGGAGCGCTGGACCACGCGGTGCTGGCCGTGGGCTACGGGGTCCTGCAGGGAGAGACCTACTGGCTGATCAAGAACTCCTGGTCCACGTACTGGGGTAACGACGGCTACATCCTCATGGCCATGAAGGACAACAACTGCGGCGTGGCCACCGAAGCCACCTACCCCATCCTGGCCTGAGCCACCTCCGCTGTGTGGGGAGAGCCCTCGGTGATGCTCTCGGCACCCATCCCTGGATCAGCCCCTTTGGTGTGACACATCACGCAGGAGGAAGCTGGGGACACGGTGGGACAGGGCCAGGGGGTGCTGGACAAGGGGCTGGACAAGGACCCAGCTGTGGACTTGCCAATAAAGACCCTGGAAAAATACCGGTTCGCTTCTACAGGAGGGATTCAATTGCTGCCCACCCGGCTCTGCCCCCTTCGCAGACCCCAGTGCCCCCAGCATGTGGCTGCTCCGTCCCCTGCACAGGTCCTTGTCCCCAGGCTTGTTTTCTTTGTCCTGTGTGACCACAGGGGCCTCCCAGGAGGGGACGGTGCCTGCCTAGCAGAGCCAGCTGGCTCTTGCAGACGGTCCCAGACACCCAGGGCGAGGGGAGCGGCTTTTCCAGCCCTATCTCTCGAGGTGGAGCACAAACAACCCCAGGGATTTCTGCTGAGACGAGAAATTCCTGGCGCGGGGTGTTGGGGAGGGGGGAAGGCATCCACCCTCTGCCCCACTGCCTGGGTCCCTGTTGTGGCTACGGGTGGGGATGTCACCGGCGGTGTTTGCCAATGCCACGAGCCAGGCTCCCCTTCACCCCATGGGGCTGCTCCCCTCCAGGGAAAGGCACTTTACACCGCGGCCGTGGCTCACCTGGGTGCTCCTATTTTGGACTCAAGCCCTCCTGGGAGAGCGGGGTCAGTGCACAAGGATCCTGCAAACGGGATGGGAAGGTCTCTCTGCCCTGACCCTGCTGGTCTCCCAGTCTCCCATCTTCGCTGGTACGTCCTCGGGGCAGGATGCGCCTCCACACCGGTGCGCTGTGATGACAGCGGTGGTGGTCCCTGGGGAGGTGCTGCAGCACGGGTTGCATCAGTCCAGCCCTGCACCCAGGGGCGCAGCCGAACCCGGCCCGACTCGTCCCTGGTGGGGTGTGCAGCCAGCCCACGACGAGCCCTTATCGGCTTTGTTTTGGGCTCAGGCGGCCCCGCGGGGGCTCGCTGTCACCTTGGGCTGGGGGCCAGCTGGACGCACAGCAAGCAGGAGGGGTGAAGGCCACTCTGCCACGGTGACAGTGCTGCTCTCCTCCCCGGGTCTCTTTTTCCATGTAGCAACTGACATTTCGTCTGCGTCTTTCCCCTTTTTCCAATTCAAATCCCCTAATTGCAGCCCTGGCCTTGCCCTGATGGTATATCCGGAAGGATGCAGGGATGCAAACGGCTCCCATCTCCCCACGACTGCCCAGCGCTGCCTTTGGTGGGGGCGCCTTGGCTTCTGTCCCAGGAAGGCAGGGAGCACCCGGAGGGGTTTTGGGGTGCCTGGCAGGGTCTCACTGCACCTCCTCGCCCCCAGGGTTTTGCAGATGCTCCCCCCGCTCGCAGCGCACTGCATGCAGCAAAGCCTGGCTGCAAACTGCCACGCAGGGTGGGTGGGAGCGCAGGGACACCCCCAGCACCCACCACCAAGCCCCCAGTCCGTGGCCCCAGGGGATGGCCCTGCCATGGGGCACCTGTGCCCACAGGGGTCTGGGTCCCACCCTGCTCCCCCCGCCCCGAGCCCCGCAAGCACGCAACATCGGCACCCACCCTGCTTGGGGTGGGAAAGGCACCCATGGGTGCCCATGATGGGGCAGGGGGGCAACATAAAGCCACGCCTCCCCCTTGGTCTAGCCCCAGCCAAGGGAAGGACGGGGCTTTGCCCGTTGGAGTGGTATTTAAGCCACTGCAGGGTGCAGGGCACCAGCGTGGGCTGCAGGATGGAGGGGCTGGGGTGGCTGCTGGTGCTGGGGGCTGCCGTGCTGCTGGGTGAGCACCCGCCCTGGCCGAGCC